AAAGACATTTACTTGATAACGGAATAATAAACACATATAATATATCCATTGTAATTAAAAGGGTGTTTTGGGTACACTTGCTTCAAGTAGGTACGGCACCATCAAATATTAACACCCTCGGGGCACTGTGACACACTCAACCAAGCCACCGAGTCCGACCACTCACCCAATCCAAGTACGTCGCCTCTTACGATAAGCGGGGCGGTCGGGTAGCTTAGTGGTTAAAGCGTTCGCTCGTCACGCCGAACACCCGGGTTCGATTCCCGACATGGGTACAATGTGTGAAGCTCATTTCTGGTGTCCCCCGCCGTGATATTGCTGGAATATTGCTATAAGCGGCGTAAAATCAAACTCACTCACTCACTCACTCTTACGACAAGCACATGTTACTTCAGGCAACGCCTACTTCGGACTCCCCGGGATCGGGTGGTCAGGCTCGCTGACTTGGTTGATGCATGTCATGTGATGTCCCACTTCATATAATGAGTTGGTCTAATATGTTTCATCTCAAACAAACAAAACAAACATAATTCGGACTCCCCATAGGGTGACATCAATATCTAAGGCCATTGAAACATTTTTGTTTGTTTTTCAACGCCGCACTCAGCAATATTCCAGCTTATACCAGAAATACCAAGTCCAGGATATTTGGTCATATCTAAGCCATACTCCGAACACACTGAGGACATAATAGAGAACATTGTAATGTAAGGTATAAAAGCTTGAACCTTATTTTGTCTTCGCCTAAAACAAAAGAACCAAGGGTTATGTTAGGTCAATGACATATGTTTATCGTTAGATAATAAATTTGTTTGTTTATTTGTTTGTTTGTTGTTTAACGCCGCACTCAGCAATATTCCAGCTATATGACGGCGGTCTGTAAATAATCGAGTCTGCACCAGACAATTCTGTGATTGACATCATGAGTATCGATCCACGCAATTTGGGATCGATTTAGAATCTCAATGTCGTGTATGAATAGGCAGACACCTACACGATCCACAACGTAGTCCAATTGAGTTTAACAGAATAATACTTCAAACACGTAAAACGTTGACACATATTAATTTAATACCTTACAACCGCCCACCTTTAGAATCCAGGCGTCCGTTACACAAAGTTATCGTAGCGCTATGGTTATCGTAACTCACATACTTTAACAGAAACTTACGACTGTCGCTGCGCTACAGTGCGATCGCCTTGTGGAACGGGACCTGCACCACAAAGTTTACAACACGTCACAATACCCGATGACGTAATTAGTGGAATTGTGTTGCAAGATCCATCGGCGAAACAATGCCATGCGACGTTAGCCTAGCAACAAGGTTGCTGGGGGTCATTGAGAGTGCATAACCTCTCTCGGTGATCTATCATCTCCAAACACAATGTCGTTGAATAAGACAAGCGATGCTGAGAGCTTTCAATTGTCGTTAGTGGAACTTGTTCCCGCAGTACATAAGCACGCGCTTTGGTATAACACAATGTGTAATACAGCTGTATGTTTATAAACAGGTGATCTCTTCACGGGCAAGTAATAAATCGCTGCATTGAAATTGCATCACAATGCTTTGCAGACACTGTGACGTCATTGGTTACCATGATGTCACAATCAAATGACATCACTAATGGCTCTGCTACTAAAGCTGTGAGCAGTACTTTTTACACTGAGACACGGCTTAAATATTACTGTCTACAAACTGAAAAAGTTGGAAAAATGATGTTGGATGATATATAAAATCTCACCCTCGTGTCTTTGGATATCAAATATATCAACTCCTGCTGATATATTTAATATCAAAAGACACTCGGGTAAGATTCTCTATATCAACAAACTCCTGTCTTCCACTATACTAGGCTGTGTCCACTCCACAAGTGTGTTTGACAAGTTCTCCTAAAATCCCACATGCACATGTTCCCCATCAGTCACACTTGTCTCAAATAACACACGATGTTCATTTAAATTGTTGTCCGGATTAAACCGTAACGCCGGTTCTCTTTATTCGTCACCACTCGCCCCTTTCCGTAACCTGAAAGAAGCTATTCGGCTTGTCCCGGAATAACACGAGTTGGACACGAATGCGGTTCTCTTGTCATTCCTGGTTTCGGCTGTCTCATATCTCGGGTCATTCATTCCGACACTGTGACAGCAATCGTTCATTTCAAAGTTTACCTACTTTTCGTAACTTTCCTCTAACAAACATGACTTCTGTACATTCCATCCATGTTGTTCTTTTAGGTTTTGGCATTTTTGTCGAATGACACATAAAAAAATTTGACAGGTTTTCCGAGTTTCCTCTTCTCAATGTGAAATGCATGCCTATGCTGATGCACGACGGCGGCTTGTCTGTCAGTGACGAGATCTTGTCAAAACAAGCCTTGATTAAAAAACCCAATGAACCTTTTTAAAAATGTGTCTTCTATTATCAATGCTAGATAGTTTACGCTTTGTAAATCAGACAGAAATATAACTGCAATAATGTGATCTTTAAAAAGGTTTTTAACAGAGCCGTATTTTTCACGCGTAACAACACGTTAAAATTGGAGTGAGTGGACAGTGTTGACGCATAACAGCTGATTCTTGATCGGCGATAGTTTTTTTCCCTTTGAAACACGTCTTTAATATAATTATGGGTAATAAATAGAATAACCCACTCGGTACGAGTGATAACGGAAAATATGTCACTCGTTTTAAGTTCCTCGCTAAGGCAACATTTATTTCACCTCGTGGGTGATTCTATAACTATTTCATTTCTCCATAGGGTCGGTGAGGTAGCCCAGTGGTTAAAACGTTTGCTCGTCACGCTGAAGACCCGGGTTCGATTCCCTGACATGGACACAATGTGTGAAGCCCTTTTCTTGTGTCCCCCGACGCGATATTGCTGGAATATTGCTAAAAGCGGCGTAGAACCATACACACTCCTCCATAAACGTCAAATATGATCATGTCATAGAATTTCATCTATAAGTTCTTAGCTGACAGGTGCAGGCAGCCAAACTTGTCATGGCGTATTTCACCACACGAAATGTTTGTGTTCAGTTTTCCTTCAATTGCGTCTGTCATTTTCTTGTTGTTTCTTGATTGTTCAAATGTAGCAGCAATCGCAGGACGAACAGGTAGTTTCCGGGCGACATCGCATCAAGGAAGTAGCTGTTGCGGTTCATCTCCCTGTGTAATTGTTCTTCTACTTGCGAATTTATTGTGCCTTTCATTTCGAGAACAAACGTTATACGCCTTAGCAGTTCCTGTTCCGATTTTGTATTCCCTTCATAAAATCTATCAAACAAACAGAACGTTTCCTTTGAGGGTAGCACGTCAGTGTCGGAGTCCAGAGCATTGACTGGAGCTACTGTTAGTCATTCTTTCATGTAAGGAATACTCTTAGAAAATATCCCTTCATTAGCTTTCTGTGTTTTCAGCAGTTGTTTCGGCCAAGCGTTCCTCGTGGGGAGAGAACATGTTCTTCCGCTGCTTGTTTCCATGGCGTGACATCATAGGGGGTAGTCACTTATGATGACTGGCGGTTGTCTTGACATAGATCGATGTGGTCTCTCACGCTTTCAGGCCTCAGTTTGTTTGTTTGTTTGTTTGTTGTTTAACGCCGCACTCAGCAATAGTCCAGCTATATGACGTCTGAGTCTGAACCAGACAATCCAGTGATTAATATCATGAGCATCGATCCACGCAATTGGGATCGATGTCATGCATCAAACCAAGTCAGCGAGCCTGACCCCCTGATCCCGTTAGTCGCCTCTTACGACAAGCATAGTCACCTTTCACGGCAAGCATGGGTTGCTGAAGACCTATTCTACCCCGGATCTTCACGGATCCGCGCTAAATTTAACACGATGCGCGTTCGGTTCCAAATTCAATTTAGCGCGGTTAAATCTACAGGTAACCTAGCTAGCTCTACATTGAAAACACAGTATGTTTATCTCCGAAATATGCATGGTACAGACCACCTTCCATCATTAATAAATACACCCTTCACCAGGTGTTATAGATATTTAGATTTCCTAACAACAAATATTTTGTATGACCCAGTTGGTACTATGCACAATGTTGAATTGATTAAATTTACTTTTTTTTAACTTTTCATCTGGGTAACAGGAGGGTCAAAACCTCCAGAAAGGTATGCATTTTGTGTTTATGTGAGGTGAGGTGAGGTGAGGTGAGGTGAGGTGAGGTGAAATGGGGTTTAACGTCACGTCCAAGATTATTGCACTTATATAGCGACGTGCATGCACGTGTATGTGTGTGTGTGGCTGCTTGTACTAGTCCGGACTGATGCCGATTTATATTGCTAGCTCACTGAGATACCATGCCGCAGTTTAACATGAATACCCTACTCAGACACAGTATACTGACTCCGAGCCGACCAGTCCTTGTTTTAGCCCCTTAATGCTGAGCGCCAGACAGGGTAACAACAAGTACAATCTTTTAACGTCTTTTTGTATGACGCGGCCCGGGATCGAACCCTGGACCTTCCGCTCTCCGGGCGGACGCACTACTACAAGACCACGGAGGCGGTCTTGTGTTTATGTGGATACTCACAGTCTACAACTGAAACAAATTCAACAATATTACATTAGCAAATGCTTGACTTACATATAATTTGTTACTATTTATAAAATGATATATTGTAAATGCTCTCAAAGTGTTGTTTTTTTCTAAATTATAAATTCAATATTTGAAGTTTCTGCTCAGTATTAGGAACATGGTCTTTTTCTATTGTTTTGATATTTGATATATTGTGTTATAAATCATCAAATGTTAAATCACATTTTGCATATTTTGTTTTTGCAAAGTTTAAAACAAAAGTTTTATTATTTCCTAATTATTTTCCTAATTAATACTCTATGTTGGCAGAACAGGAATTCAGACATTTTCTGAGAATGACTCAGGTATGTTCTGTCGATGAGACAAAATTGCGATTTAGCAAAACGTGTTCTCATTTAGATGAAACAAATCGCTCAAACACATTCTTCTACACACCGACAAAAGGACTCGCTATGCAGTGTCGGCGCTAAAACGCAGTGAAAAGAGCTGCAAAAGACGGAAGTGTGTGATAATCCGTCATTCATATTTTCGATCAAATTCGTGCTTAATATTTCGTGAAAGGTGAGTTGTTTATTGCATTTTCTAAATTCTCTGTTTGGTAATTAGTTCTATTCACCCTGTTTAGTCTAGGGTCCTAGTCTAGTTTGAAAGTGAGAACGACAGTCGAGACGAAACTTTGTCGATGTCTTGAAAAGTGTCGTCTCTGCCCAAAGTTGACAAGCTTTGAAACTGATCTCATTTTTGGTGTCTGTTGAAACCTGTAGATTACAAAGTAGTAATGTTGAAAGATAGTTTTGTTTGTCGAAAAAAACGTCATTGACGTCCATGAAGGAGTAAGAGTAAGACTTACGAAATACAGAAAATCATTCATCGGCATGTATAGACTATGATTCATTGCTTGGCTAGGCCGATATATAGTGTGTACAAAGAAACGGGTCAAGTGATCTCGGGGCATTTTTGCCTGTGAAAGTGATTGGCCAGGTGTCAGAAATGTAGATCATACGATAAAGGTTATTTACATTCCGGAGATCAGTGATCGCTGTCATCACAGTATTGACAATTCTTTTAGTGACATTTGTCTGACCTCAGGACCACGTAACTAATGGGCCCTAGTAATAATCCGTAATAACAAACCAACTCGGAGACTTCGTCCTCGCCTACAATTTTTTTGCGATTTTGTTTATTATTATTATTAGTTACATGGTCCTGTGGTCTGACTCTGAGATGATTCAATATTTGGAAGGATGAGGATAAGTTGCTTTCTCACAAAATCTATTTGATTCCTCATATGGGTAGAAAATCTAGTTATTTTATATACCGTATTTGAAGTAATAAGTGCCTCGCTCTAATCAGCGCCCACAGCGATATTTGCTAATATATTGGCTAGTGAACAATCCAATTATCACCCCTTCTGATTGAACAATGTACACAAGACTTATTTATTCGTGTATAATATGCACTCGTGTGTTATATGCACCCTTAATTATGGGCTATTAAATTCTGGAAAATATATCTGTCGTGTATCTGTCGTGATACATGTTGTCACAGTCAGCAATATTCTATATACCGTATTTGACGTACTAAGCACCTAGGGCGCTTTCAAAATTAGAAATAGGGGGCTCTTATTGGAATATTATTTTAGTGAAAAAAATAGAGTTGAAAGATAAATATCGTGATATATGAAATATGCTGACAGCCTGAAATGTTTATGTACGACAGACATATTTTTCCAGAATTTAATTGCCCATAATTAAGGGTGCATATAACACACGAGTGTGTATTATACGCGAATAAATAAGTCTTGTGTACATTGATTAATTGGAAGGGGTGCTAATTGGGATTGTTCACTGGCCAATATATTAGCAAATATCTTATTAGAGCGGGGTGCTTATTACGTCAAATACGGTATTCTAATAATCAGGTCAGGACCAGACAAACCAGTTGTTGACATTGTTGGAAATGTTCCATCCTGTCAGTTCACGATGACACACATTCATACAGATCACGGAGCCTGACAGCCCAATCCATTTTACTAGAGTCTTATGACAAGCATGCAGGTTAATGCTGACGAATTCTAGTAATAATCAGTGGCAGACGTAATGTGTACGCGGGACGGCTCTGCCGTCTCTTGTACGCAAGACGGGTGCGGTCCGCAGTACTCAGTGAAGCACTTGATACTAATTAATTCAATCACCGTGGCTGTGCTGTCACCCACGATCTCCGCGAAAGTAATTAAAGCGCTATGTAAAATCATCCACGGCCGAGAGGGACCACAATCCACCCAAGGTCGTGACTGGCGGGTCGCGTGTGCATCGAGGCATCCGCCTTCCTATTTTCACATACCCTATTTTTGAACAGTTAAAACATGTCAACATGTTATTCTGGACTGGATACACTTGAAAGTGTACACGTCGAAGCTGATAATGATGATGATAATTTATGATTGGGTCGTGTGTACATTGTTTTGAAACATAATATCATATGTTAGTAAGACACAAAGTTGAATTTTATTACATTGCACTTGGTGCATGTTGACATAAATATTAGCAAGCATTTTTCAAAAATAGGTTGCGCTTGTGTATGTTTTATGTAACTAAATCAGGCCTTGAATGTACTATTGTTTAAACCATTTTGTAACAGTTTTTGATTCAAACAGAGAATTAGCCAATGACTATTAAGCATGTTTGATGGTGTTCTTGATGTTTGACTGAAAACACATCTGGTCAACCTCCCTGCAGTTCATAATCATCATTTATGGATTTATTGATCAGCTTTTTCAGTTATTGATAAATATTTTGGGCAGATACTGGGGCTGCTTATAGAGTGTTATAAAACCTTCATCCCGAGTGGTAATTTTATATGGCTCTGTCTATAATTTATTTTTTACATCCATGTCAGAGTGTTGATATCTGATTGGTTCATGTGATCTTGATAAAATACTATGTATCTCGCCTTGGAGGGAAAAATATTTCTGAGTGGGACAATAAATCCTTATACCCCGCCACGAAGAAGACAGGTTTTATGTCACGAGTTGTCACATGTACCCCCTGTGATACTGCTACAACTTGGAAGAACTGTCCTGGATCATATAGACATGAAAAATGATACCGTTATAGGAAGCATTGTTTGAAATAGTTTTAAAACCAACAAAACAGTCGGGCAGGTGACCCATAACTGTTGCCTGCCCATCTTCAAGGGATAATTCTTGTGCTTTTAGCCCCTAAATTTTAAAAAAGATCCACATTTTTAAATCCCACTGGGCATTTTACATTGTGTTGTATGGGCTTGTTTTTGAAATTTTCATATAAAGGACCCATGTCAGAAAATTCCTAGAGTGAACCCTAATCTTCAAAGTAACCAATTGCATGTAGCCCGACAGACAAGTTACCACCCACAGGCAGGCAGGCAGGCATTTTTTTTTCAGACACTGAATGGACGTATATTAAGATATGGAAGACCAGACAAGGAATGAAGGACACTTATAAACAGGATTATTTTCTGTTTGAATATATTCTTTTAAACATTTGCTGTTTGGAAAGCCCATTCACCCTTCATGTGAGGATCTTGTCAATCTGTGTTCAGCAAGGTTCCCGCTGGCTATTGAAACTTGAAACTGTCATTCCTTGTGGACTGGCAACTCTAAAAATTACCAGTCCCCCCAAATGTTTGCCAGTCCCAACTTTCAACAAATGTTCAGTGCAAAGATGTCATCTCTGAAGTAACTTAGTTAGATCTATACGTCATTCACACAAACTTCAGTTAAATTTTATTTATGTTTTTTAATATTTCGAGATGAAGTCGTTACAAATGGATATTTATCCTAGAAATAGACAAGGGGAAACTCTGATGGCAACAGACAAGCTGACTTTGTTCGAAAAATGTACTTATATGAATATCACCAATGTCTTGTTCAACAACAAAGATTTATAAGGGACTTTATTTGCTGGTCCACAGGGACTGGCAGTCACATGAATTTCCGGTCCATGCCTAATTTTACCGGTAAAAAACTGGTAATTACCGGTAAACGGGAACGCTGGTTCAGTTATGTCGAAGTGATGATCAATCATGATTTAGTCAGCTGCACCCCAGACTAACACTTAGTCAATGAAAACATGTCTTTAAAATATATAAAACATTTTCTTTGAAAGAACCTTTTCTCTTCTGCTGTGGAATCAAGCAAACTAGACTTGGTTAGTTTGATCTAGACTCGCGTAGGCTTTAAGTAAAAAAAGATTCTTAAAAAATATAATTTTCATAGTCATGGTGCAGGACTAGCTGCAGCCCTGCATCTGCTGCTGGTGTGACTAGGTAGGGAGGAGAAAAGACGCTGCCTGATGATACAGCTGGGGGCACGGGTGACCCAGTCGTCTAAGGCACCGCGATTCCCTGTGTAGAGTTGCATCCCTTGGGCACGCCAGAAACCTATGATTGTGGGTTCGAATCCCGGTTCGCCCCGATGATGTTTCTAGGTTTGTCAGCACCATACCCGTGCTCGTGGGTTTCACCGAAGTGGTAAACGTCTGAGACCTGCATCACTTTGGTCTTTCCTCCCACATTAAGCTGACACGCCGTGATATAACTGGAAATCTGTTAAAGCGGCGTTAAACCCCCCTCACTCACTCACTCACTCACTGAGGATGCAGCTTGAAATATGTCTCATCAGGTGAGTCAGGAAACCATGGCAACCGTTGACTGACACTGGGAGACAAGGGGAGGCCCTCAGCAGTTGTTCTACTCCCTACAGAGTGTGGAGCTTTTGTCCTGCTGTGTCGTCATTCACCTCACCCAGGCCTCATGTGGTCCCTATGCATGTAGTAGGTAGGGAGTCAGGTATTTTCAGAAAGTCACTAAACCTGGTCATGATGTACAAATTTTGAAAGTCCTTGCATAATCATGATAATAGTGCCAATTAGAGCTGTTACGATTCACTCGCGTATTCCGTGAATCGAACCGTATCCATTGATGAATTGAAATAGTATTTGTTGCCACTAGAATCGAATATTTATGAATATGCTATTATGTATATTTACATAGCCTGTACCTAAAAATATCTATAACAAAATATTATATGCATAGATTTCTTTCAATGACAACACTCTAATAATATTTGATTTGACAGTATAGTGGTCACTGGTCATTGTGCATTTGAGCAGATACTAGTACCTGGATAAGTGCAGTGTATAAATGTTTAATATATTTATAATTAACAAACCATGTCAAATAATTTATGTTCTTAATGTTTCACTCAGTGTAACAAATAATACATCAACTGCTGACCTGTTACTGTGCTCATGAATTAATATTCATATTCGTTACCCTATATTCGTGATATGAATCATATTCGCCTCATAGTGTATTCGTTGCAGCCCTAGTGCCAACAGCACAGTCTATTCATCACAAAGCCACAGTTCAGTGTTCCAAATACCTGCCTGCCCGACCGTCCAAGACGGGTTGATTTCAACTCGGGCTGCCAGATTTTCAAATCCCCCTGCCCGACGGTCGGGTTGTATTTCATAGGTGAAAATATTCTAAATATTTCCCGATGATAAGCATTAATTCAGATGTAAAGATGAATGATAAAATGTAACCAAAAAGAAACCCCGTTAGCTTTTAGACAACCTAACATTTAGCGATGCGCTTATGCTACAAGCAATCAGTTTTCCTATTTTTAATTAAATTATCCTGAGAAACATATGATTATAGTGGGCAGGCAGGTTTTGGTCAGGGCTGGCAAGTATTTCAGCTAGCCAGTCCTGTGGTCTGGCTGAAATTTTTGGGAGTTTCATACCCTGCACAATTGAAACTATTTCCTGGTGCCTGAAGGGCATATTTATTTTATTCTTGTGATGATCTGTATTATTCCAAAGCCAGTGATAAATGTTCTTTTTTTAAAAATAACAAACGTGTTAATTAAACATTTAAACATGCTTCAGACTTCGAAATGAAGGAAGGGATTGAGGTCTTCTCCAAATTTAATTGAATGTAGGGATTGCTTAAATCTTAAACTTTAATTCAACTTATTTAATATTAACTTGTTAAAATGTAGTGAGTGAGTATGGTTTTATGCCGCTTTTAGCAATATTCCTGCAATATCACGGCGGGGGAAACCAGAAATGGGCTTCACACATTGTACCCATGTCGGGAATCGAATCCGGGTCTTCGGCATGACAAGCGAACGCTTTAACCACTTGGCTACCCGACCGCCCCTACAATGTAGTAACTGAGGACGGCCTCACTTGGATTTAAATACTGGTATTGTAGCAGCAAGCCTTGGTGACCCCAGGAGCTAGGGCTGGGACGGGTAACTCGGGTACTTGGGTCGGGTGGGTCCTGAGTCGGACACGGATACCAACAGGACTACCCGGACCCGTGGTTGTCACGTGACATATTGTTTAATGACAAAAATGATCTAGAACTCCATGGTTACACTACAAGTCACTAATGTTTGCATTTCTTATCGACATCAACAGTGATTATATTCCAAACTAAGTGCCCATGGAAGGCAAATTGGGAAAATTGATTATTTTGTTCAAAATTGTTATTTTTTAAAAGGTTCTTTTTTTCTAAACTCTGGGGTATTTTATCATTAAGTTTGAACTTTGCATTTACTGCAATCCTGTTAAAATTGCATTGACTGCCATACTGTTACAATTGCATTCACTGTAAGCCTGTAAAAATTGCATTCACTGTTATATTGTTAAAATTTCATTCACTGTAATATTGTTAAAATTGCATTCACTGTAATATTGTTAAAATTGCATTCACTGTTATATTGTTAAAATAGCATTCACCGCCACATTGTTAAAATTGCATTCACTGCAATGTTGTTAAAAATTGCATTCACTGTAATATTGTTAAAATTGTATTCACTGTAATATTGTTAATATTACATTCAATGCAATATTGTTAAAATTGCATTCACTGCAATATTGTTAAAATTGCATTCACTGCAATATTGTTAAAATTGCATTCACTGTAATATTGTTAAAATTGCATTCACTGCAATATTGTTAAAATTGCATTCACTGCAACATTGTTAAAATTACATTCACTGTATTACGAGGGACGCATAAAACCCCATGTACCCCTTGTGATCCTGCTACAACGAATTTATCTTACTGACATATTTTGATATGACAATGTAAAAAATTTAAAAAATTCAAAATTGATAGAAAACAGCTGTTGGATAGAGCTGAGATTAACTTGTGCTATGTCGCGTGGCTTTCATTGACTCGGAAAAAGTGTGTGGCTTTTTGCTTAGAATTTGGGTATAGATTTATTCTGCCTCTCAGAAATCCACGTGCAGCCTGGTTTTTCCTAGGCGGGGTAAAAGTTTTTTTTTCTCCAGCTGAGAAATCTATTTCCCTCCTAGGCAGGATGCATCATATTTTCTCAAGATCACATGGGCCAATCAGATCTCATCATTCTGACATGGAGGTAGATAACATTAGTTGTAACTACAACAGTATGAATTGGGAAATATTTAATTCCAATTTTTTTTCTGGCATTTGCTTCAGACTTTGGGTCCCTTATCCACCATGTAAGTTCTCCAATGTTAATGTCACATCTTCTGTTACAGATGGCCGGCAAACAGCCCTACCCCCCTCCTGGAAATTACCCCCAGCCTCCTGCCCCTGGCTACCCCCAGGGACCACCCCCAGGATATCAAGCCCCACCTCCAGCCTATCAGGCTCCACCCCCAGGCTACCAGGCTCCGCCCCCAGGCTACCAGGCTCCACCCCCTTACCAGCCTCCAGGTGCAGTAAGTATATTCATATTTATGTATATTTAAGACAGATCTTGCGTTGGATTTTCCAAATTCCAAGGTTCGGATCACTCCATCCTCCCGAGGCAAACGTGTCCACTAGCCTGTATCCAGGTATCAAAGCCTGGTTTCTAACCTTGCCACATCAAGGCCATTTTTCTTGGCTCGACGCTGGCGCCACTCGGAAACAGTTTCATATTTTTCATGAAACTTTGCCTATGTATGAAACACATGCTGAACTGAGCCTTTTGATATTTTGGTATTTCTAAAAATAACTTTTTTTGTATCTTCCTTGGCAACAAACTGGACAAACTGGATGCAAATATGAGTTGCATTGGTTTCCGGAGCACAACTCGGAAACAGTTTCATATGTGTCATGAAACTTTGCCTATGTATGAAACACATGCTGAACTGAGCCTTTTGATATTTTGGTATTTCTAAAAATAACCTTTTTTGTACCTTCCTTAGATGCAAATATGTGTTGCATTGGTTTCTGAAGCATAACTCGGAAACCGTTCTATATGTTATTATGAAACTTTGCCTATATATGAAACATATGTGAACTGAGCCTTTCGATATTTTGGTATTTCTAAAAATAACTTTTTTTGTATCTTCCTTGGCAACAAACTGGACAAACTGGATGCAAATATGAGTTGCATTGGTTTCCGGAGCACAACTCGGAAACAGTTTCATATGTTTCATGAAACTTTGCCTATGTATGAAACACATGCTGAACTGAGCCTTTTGATATTTTGGTATTTCTAAAAATAACTTTTTTTGTATCTTCCTTGGCAACAAATTGGACAAACTGGATGCAAATATGAGTTGCACTGGTTTCTGAAGCATAACTCGGAAACTGTTCAATATTTTATTATGAAACTTTGCCTATGTATGAAACACATGCTGAACTGAGCCTTTTGATATTTTGGTATTTCTAAAAATAACCTTTTTTGTACCTTCCTTAGATGCAAATATGTGATGCATTGGTTTCTGAAGAATAACTCGGAAACCGTTCAATATTTTATTATGAAACTTTGCCTATGTATCAAACATAGGTGCCATTTGATGTTTTGGTATTTCTGAAAAACATTTTTCTTTGTTTCTTGTTTTACTTAACGTGTAGTGTCTGAATTTGGGACTTGCTTTCTCAGAAACGACTACAGTTACATGAATGAAACTTTCAAGCTTATCTAAGAGAGGAAATTAGTGTCATAAATATTATTTTTTCCAGAGTTACTTCCCTTGTGTTGTTACAGAGTTAAGGTCCTGACATCAAGCTTTCCAATATTAGCCTCATATTATTCACTGCTATGTGAACAAACTAATTTCGAATGTGCCAAATGTCAGGACTATGATAACGCTGTTTTTGCAGTTTCCATGGTAACAAGATATGTATTTTTGCAGACTCACCACACTGTCGTTGTGCAGCAAGTTCCCCAGAAGACCGTGGTGCAGAAACCCGCTGTGAGTTGAAGTCCGCAGTCTGTTTGTGACCTGGCGAGTACACACAACAGGCCTCAAAGTTGGGACTAAAATGGTCATCTATATGACCTAAATTTCAATTTGTCTAAGACCGCCTCCGTGGTCTAGTGGTAGAGCGTCCGCCTGGAGAGCGGAAGGTCCGGGGTTCGATCCCCGGCTACGTCATACCAAAAGACGTTAAAAGATGGTACTTGTTGTTACCCTGTCTGGCGCTCGGCATTGAGGAGCTAAAACAAGGACTGGTCAGCTCGGAGTCAGTTTACTGTGTCTGAGTGGGGTATTCATGTTAAACTGCTGCATGGTATCTCAGTGAGCTAGCACTATAAATCGGCATCAGTCCGGACTAGTACAAGCAGCCACACACACACGTGCATGCACGTCGCTTTATAAGTGCAATAATCTTGGACGTGACGTTAAACCCCATTTCACCTTACCTGTGTCTTGTGTTTGGGGGTCATATTACACCAACCATGTGGGATGCTGCTCAATATCAGTCACTGGTTTGTCTGGTCTGGAGTTGATTATTTATGGGCAGCTGTCATTTAGCTGAAATATTGCTGAGTGTGACGTTACAATCACTTGCGCCACTGCTTCAGATGGATAAATGCTGTTTCAGAGAGGCTTGTTGGGGTCGTTCATGAGATTGAGATTTTCGATTGTTGTATTGTTTCAGAGAGGCCTGTACGGGTATTTCATGAGGTCAAGATATATGACTGTTGTATTGCTTTAGAGAGGTCTGTTTGGGCATTTCATAAGGTTGATATGTACAATTGTTGGTATAGCTTAAATATTGCTGAGGGTGGCGTTATAATGGACCCTTGAATAGAATAGGTCTTGAGCAACCCATGCTTGCCGTAAAAGGCGACTGCTTGTCGTAAGAAGAGACTAATGGGATCGGGTGGTCAGGCTCGCTGACTTGGTTGAAGCATGTCAGCGATCCCAATTGCATGGATCGATGCTCATGATATCAATCACTGGATTGTCTGGTCCAGACTCTTTTATCTACAGACCGCCGTCATTAAGCTGGAATATTGCTGAGTGTGGCGTAATAACAACAAAAAAAAAAAACAGCTTGCGCCACTCTTTCAAATGGATCAATGCTGTTTCAGAGAGGCTTGTTGGGGTTGTTCATGGGGTTGAGATGTACGACTGTTGTGTTGTTTCAGAGAGGCCTGTTCGGGTCGTTCATGAAGGAGGTCGACCTCCTGGCCAAGCAGGCAGGACGGGAGATTGACTACTGTTCTGGCAAGGTCAACCAAGCAGTGGACCAGACGGCAACCAATCCTGTGCTGGTCAGTGTTGCTATGGAAACCTAATCAGGGCTCGACAAATATAATAATTCAACACCTGAACTTATAGTTTACGTGAGCGTATGTCGTGGGTCATTATCCACTGAATGCAGACATAGCACTATGTATGTGCTGATAAGAGTGTATTAGACGTTGTTTTTATAGCTACACTCAAGTTCCGTTAATCCGACATTGTTGGTTGCATATGATTATGTCGGATTAACGAGTATGTCGGATAAACAAAATTAAGAAGTACAAACGTCCGTGATCGAAAACTGGACTACTACCCGATAGAATGATACAACCACTTAGGAAAATGAAAAATGAAATATTCATATTACTGTGTTACATTGTCAGCGGAATATGTTTGCTAATCATGCAACCTCTAAAGTTTAACACAAAACTACTGTTACGGACTGTATGACTGATTCAAAATTGACTGATTTTTAAAGTATAGTCTGGAATGGAAGTCGCTAATTTGAAACTAGTACTGCAATGCTTAAGAAAGCTGCTTTCTTAGTGGCTAATGTTGACTTCCTGTTTGTAATTTCAACAATCCTCGGACCCAAATGTTATGAACCAGGAAAGTGGAAATAAATATTTGCCTTTTGAATTATTGTATAGTGACGCAGAGCGAGATAATAATGCTTTGTTGCCATGGTTGCCTAAGGACAGTGGTTCTGTGACCTGTGTTTGGTAAAAACTCCAAGCTGTGTGGCTTTGTTGTAGGGTTGGGACGGGTAAACGGGGTATTCGGGTCGGGTGGGTACTGAGAAGGACCCGGGTACCCACAGGACTACCCGGACCCGTGGTTAGTCACGTGATATATTGTTTCATGACAATAATTCACTATAACTACATGGTTACACGACAATTTTAAGTCTCTAATGTTCGCATTTCCTTATTACTATGAACTCATTCCTTCTGACATATATGTTTGAACAAAGCTAAAACTTCAGTCAAATTCAGTGTATGCATGACCACATTGTTTGATACGTGTATGTAAATACATTTTGCTCGGGCTACTGTCAAACTATTCCCATTTTGTACCTATCTCTTGACACCAACAGTGGGTACCTGGGTAGTAAACTTGGACTAGTCCCAGCCCTACTTTGTTGCCATGGGAACACATAAAATCTTTCACAAATATGGGAAGTAGATAATTAAAAATAGAAATTCCCATCATGCTGACCTTATGTTCTTTCAAAAAAGTATTGAACGTCTTATTGTATTTGTGTTTTGATTTCTACTGCCGACCAAGTGAGAGAGTAAGTTGGGTTTTTAACGCCGCTTTTAACAGTATTCCAGTTATATCACGGTGTGTCAGCTTAATGTGGGAGGAAAGCCCGAAGTGATCGGTGAAACCCACCAGCACGGGTATGGTGCTAGAAACCATACCTAAAAACCTAGAAACCTAATGGGGGCGAACCGGGATTCGAACCCACAATCATAGGTTTCTGGCGTGCCCAAGGGACGCAACTCTGCAGAGCGAATCACTGCGCCTTAGACAACTGGGCCACCTGTGCCCCCTGCAGGCCAAGGGTTTGAGAAAAAGAAATCTGTTAACGTATTACAATAAAATGAGTTCCTTATATTTGTTCCAGAACTACTTCCAGACAGGGAATGTGGTGCAGCTCATATCGCGCGTGAGCGGACGAAGTCTGCAGATAGTGGCGACCCCTGCTGGACAGCTGGTCGTGGACGGATGTGGTCCCACTGACCACCAGCAACACAGTAAGTTTTTTTGTTTAATGCCACACTCAGCAATATTACAACTATATGACGGCGGGCTGTAAATAATCAAGGGTGTCACCCTTGCACTCAACCTAACACCAGGTGTCACCCTCGTACTCAACCTAACACCCATCTTCCCGAGGCAAGTGAGTTAACTGACTATAAAAGTCCAGTTTCCACCCTTGCCGAACTAGGCTGGTATTATGGAGTTACATTTACAACGAGTCTCTGCATAGTCCAATCAAAATCGCGCACCAAAATCGAAATCCGGTTCGTAAAGTGTCATGCAGATTTCGGTCGACTGCAGGATGTAAGACTCGTTTTATCACAATATAGATCTTGATTATCGATCAGATCGTCTTGACTGGGCGCCAGTTAGCAAAAACCAACAGTTACGGACTTTGTTATGTCTGACCTGGCCATGTCTTTATGTCTTCAGCTCTGTGGACTGTCGTAAACGAGGGAAATAACCAAGTGCGTCTCCACAACAACAACAACTACTTGACCATCGTCAACAACAATACAACACTTGTCACCATGGTAACCTTCTTAGCTATGACATACATTTTATTCATGCAGAATTTCAGTGTGCACATCAGTTTATATAGTTATAAATCCTTATAAACCTCCAGTGATGCTGTTTTATAAACCTACTGGCTGTTTTTGAAATTGTGGTAACACCTCATAGGAGGTATTACAATGATTGTAACACCTCGCAGGAGGGCTTACAACGATTGTAACACCTCGCAGGAGGGCTTACAACGATTGTAACATCTCGCAGGAGGGCTTACAACGATTGTAACATCTCGCAGGAGGGCTTACAATGATTGTAACACCTCGCAGGAGGGCTTACAACGATTGTAGCATCTCGCAGGAGGGCTTACAACGATTGTAGCATCTCGCAGGAGGGCTTACAACGATTGTAACACCTCGCAGGAGGGCTTACAACGATTGTAACATCTCGCAGGAGGGCTTACAATGATTGTAGCATCTCGCAGGAACAGGTTGTACAATGAATGAGCGTCAGTCAAAGCAAAACGTGTAATAGTCTCAGCCTACTAGACACACATGCAGATTTCATGCCATTGCGAGACGCACCTGCAGATTTTGCATAGACAACGTTTTTAATTAAATAACTGTAATAAAAACTCTCAAATGTATAACCTGTATCGGAAATGAAATATCACCTGCAGTCGTGAACTCGGTTCAATGAAACTGGTGACCTCAGCACGTGGGTTTCGCAACGGTGTGAAATCTGCACGTGCGTCTCGCAATGGCACGAAATCTGCACGTGCGTCTCGTAGGCTGTTCGTAGTTTTTGTTCTATCAAGGGTTTACAATGATTGTAAGCCCTCCTACGAGGTGTTAGCACAATTTAAAAAACTCCATATCGAGTTACACAGCCAGTAGGTTTATAAATATTTTAAAATCCCTGGGACGCGTTTTATCCTACCCATAAAACGCGGAAACCTACTGAAGTCAGTTGTTGAATATTGCAGCCCCCCGGCAGTGTCCATGGGGTGGAGACAAAGCTCCAGCTGGGCGTCGCCCAAACCCAGTTTGTCATCATGCAGTCTGTGAAGGACCCTCTCTGTCATGTGGGAGTACTCCCTACAGGGTTGATGAAGCCTGCCAGAGCTACTGGCAGAGAAAACAGTGCACAGTTTGGAGTTCGACTTGTCGTAAGTGCTGTATCACTGAGTTGCGAGTTTGGACTTGATGACTAATGTATCTTATGCATGTTCTTCTGGAGATGAACATATGTTTTATGTTTGTGTCACATATTTTTTGAAGATTTGAAACCTCCAGCTGATAAATATTCAGTAATTTTCATGAATGAAAGAGGGGAACAGGTATCACAGTCATCTAAGAGTTTTCCCCCTTAGATATGTCTGGATCCTATGATTGTGGGATCAAATCCTGGATCCGCCCTGATTTTGATCCTTTAGTCAGCAGTGAGGATTTTTGTATGTCCCAAGTTTGTGTTGTATGTGTAATCACCAAGTAAAGACCCGTGAATATCTGGGTTGGAGTTGGTCTTAAGAAACCCATGCTTGCCGTAAAAGGCGACTATGCTTATTGTAAGGGTCGACTAATGGGATCGGGTGGTCAGCCTCGCTGACTGGGTTGATGCATGTCATCGTATCCCAATTGCGTAGATCGATGTTCATGATGTCAATGACTGTCTGGTCCAGATTCGATTGTTTTCAGACTGCCATCATATAGCTGAAATATCGCTGCATGCGGCATTTACACTTGTCACTTCAAAGTTCAAAGGGGCGACGGGTAGCCTAGTGATTAAAGAGTTCGCTTGTCACGCCGAAGACCCGGGTTTGATTCCCCACATGGGTACATTGTGTGAAGCCTATTTCTGGTGTCCCCCCGCCGTGATATTGCTGGAATATTGCTGAAAGCGGCGTAAAACCATACTCACTCACTCACTCCAATGTTAGGTGTGGTGGGGTGGCCCTGTGGTTAAAATGTTAGCTCATCATGGTACAGGCCTGGGTTTGATTTCCTCACTAATTTATATGCAAATGCTTACCGGTACTTCCGGCTCTCTTCTCACGGATGTTGATTGTTTTACCGTGTCAGCTGGCTTGACATTCTGGATCGAGGCAAGGGTCTTTTCGACTTTATTTGCAGAAAATATTCAACTTTATTCAAGGAAAACAGATACAAATCATGTTTTTGTATGGAAATAGTTATTGGAACAGTTATTTAGGACGAAATGCGAAGTTTTATTGTCAAATGCTGGGCTAGCTATCGAACGCCAGTTGACATCGCCAGTGGAAGCTGAAAGTAAAACACCTAGAAAAAAACGTGAGATCTTCGACTCCGTGTATAAGACGACCCCCCTTCTTAACCCCCTCATTCTAGGTACGAAAAACTTGCCTTATACACAGCGATATACGGTATATTATATCCTGCTTTGATATTCGTGACAATATACCATACTGCCTCACTCCACCTATCATGTGACCTCTGAATCTTGTTTCAGTACACTCCATACGGGCAACAAGTGACAACAGTCAAGAAATAGTTGTCTCCCTTTGAAGAAGGATATTTTGGAGTTATCTCCCATGTACAGCAATATGGAAAAGAGAGTAGAAGCTTGAACAGGAATACTCCAGAATATTTGACTGTAGAATATCTCGTATAATGAGATATCTTTCTGAAATAAGAAGTTACTTCTTATGTGATATTGACAATCGGTGTATAGTTTTTTGCAAAGTTTTAGCTTAATATACGGGCAAGTGTACCATGTTTTTGTAAAGAAGTCAGATTTTGTACCATCATATTGTAACAATCAAACCATATTTCTGGGGTGAAATCATGGATTTCTTAATTTAAGTCTCTCATTTCTCAGCTTTTTATCAACAAAGATGTTTATTTGATACCACTATAAAATTCATAGATTTTACATGAACTTATGAAACAATTTGAAATGTCTACCATATTTACTCTATTAACAAATGGGCTCGCTTTTTAACACCCTACACACCAGAAGCTTGTCAGGGGCGCTTATAAAGAATACTTGAAGTTAGTCAGGGAGTGCTTGATGGAGCAGGATGTTTAGTACAGCGTATACGGTATGTCAGAGACCTGTTTTATTTGCCATACATACAAATTCAAACAAAAATAAAAAAAAACTTGAAATATTTGAACGTTTTTTTCTGAAAATAAGGAGCCTTCCAGTGGTCCTTGAATCTAAATGTTGTTGTTTGAACACCAGGGGATCGCAGCGCTACGACTACCGTAACTCCTATACTTTAACATAGACTTACGACCGTCTTAGTGCTACAATCTCTTTGTGAAATGGGCCCCTGGTCTTTATGCAGAGTATGTGTCGAAGATCTGATTTTATTTCTCAGCCAAAACAAATTTCATGGAAAATGTTTATGTACTCATGCCTGGTCAAAGCAGCTTTAAACCCAACTCACTCACTCACTCACTCTTTGACATCAGACTTCAAGTAAATAAGTCACTGACATCAGTCGTTAGTATACCAATCTCATTATAATCAGATCTTAGTACTCGCTATCGCTAATCAAAGATCCAAGGACATCCTGTTATGGGTCACATCAGAACGACCTCCACCCCTGCAAAGTTGTTGACAAATATTTCCTATGTTGTACATATGATAGCATATCGGATTGTTATACTGTTGACTTGAAATTTACCGTATTCAACGTAATAAGCGCCCAGGGCGCTCTCGAAATAAGAAATAGAGGGCTCTTATTAGAAAATTATTTTGGTGAAAAAAACAGAGTTGAAAGATCGTAAATTTCGTGGTTTATGCGGACTGCCTGAAATGTTGATATATTTTTCCAGAACTTAATTGCCCATAATTAAGGGTGCATATAACACATGAGTGCGTATTATACATGAATAAATAAGTTTTGTGTACATTAGGGGTGCTAGTTGAGATTGTTCACTTGCCAATATATTAGCTGTGGGCACTTACTAGAGCGGGGCGCTTATTATGTCGAATACGGTAGGTGTTACTCATTTATTTTCCAGGTTTGTGTGTTTGATAGCCGGTATGTTTCCTCCTTATTTATGGTTGATTACTTTTCATTTTGAAGAATGTTATGTTAGAGATGAGAAAATGGAGGTGTTAGGGACCGACCTTTTGATACCTGGTTGATGCATCCCAGTTGTGTATATCGATGCTCATGATGTCAGTCACTGGATTGTCTAGGTCAGACTCGATTATATTCAGGGGGTGGTGATATTATCGAAACGAAATCAATTAACCCAGAAGTTCTTGAAAAATGAATCATGCTTTTGACTGTTGAAAAAAAACAACGTTGCAAGGAGTTTTTCTGACGAAAATATTCAGGCACATAGTTATAATTAATTGCAGCTGTCCCTGAAAAAATATCTGCTCTCCAGACAAAATCAATGGCCTCCTCTGAATATCAAATGGTCTCTCCCTTACTTCCGGATTCCATGTTAACTTGCTGATGCACTACATGTATAATATCAGACACTGATATTAAAAGCCTCACCTCGTCTCCAAGCAGTGCAATACCTGGGTGGGTGGTCCAGTCGTCTGAGGCGCTGCTATTCTCTGTGCAAAGTTGCGTCCCTAGGGCACGCCAGAAACCTATGATTGTGGGTTCGAATCCCGGTTCGCCCGATTATGTTTCTAGGTTCGTCAGCACCATACCCGTGCTCGTGGGTTTCACCGAAGTGGTAAACATCTGAGACCTGCATCACTTTGTCTGAGACCTGCATCACTTCGGGCTTTCCTCCAAAATTAAGCTGACACGCGGTGATATAACTGGAATACTGTTAAAAGCGGCGTTAAACCCAACTCACTCACTCACTCACATGTATAAATTATTGCAAACCAGTTTTGGAAGGATGATCTGCCATCTATGCTGAAGGCTTTTTCCAGTTTTGGACATGGTGATAATGAAACTATTTTTTGTTCTTATTTTACACATTTTCAAGGTCAGTGTGTCAAGATGCAGTATAAAACATAACTATTAATATTGTCAGGATTGATTTTAAGTGGACACAAGAGAAAAATACGCCCCAAATGTGCAATAATTACGAAAATCTTCATTTGCTATGAAGAATAGGAAATATGACACCGGGTAATTTAGGGCAATCACATTTATATCAATCAGTGGATTGTCTGGTCCTGACTGGATTATTTTCAGACCGCTGTCATATAGCTGTTAAACAACAAACAAACAAAAAAACAACAACATTGCTCCGATCAATGATATTAGCCAATCCCTGCTCACTGAATTCAATTTTTTTTACCCAAACAGAATACATACACATTCACATCAACAGCCACAAGGATGTTTAAACCAAGTCATTTTTCAGTTTTTAAGCATTTCTATATTCGGACAAAAGTGAAATGTTTTGCACCCTGTTTCAAATATCGTAAATGGATGGTGACTGGGTCTAAAAACCACCCATTTTATTTTTTAGACGTCTTAGGGACCTACCATTTAATGTTCTGGAGGGCTGGGATTATTGTTTTGAGACAGGATATTTTTCCAGTCAGCGTGTCAAAACCATCTTCCCGAGGCAAGGGGCAGGGGCATGGGCGGCCCAGTCGTCTAAGGCGCCACGATTTGCTGTGCAGAGTTGCGTCCCTTGGGCACGCCAGAAACCTATGATTGTGGGTTCTAATCCCGGTTCGCCCCGATTATGTTTCTAGGTTTGTCAGCACCATACCCGTGCACGTGGGTTTCACCGAAGTGGTAAACATCTGAGACCTGCATCACTTTGGGCTTTCCTCCCACATTAAGCTGACACGCAGTGATATAACTGGAATACTGTTAAAAGCGGGGTTAAACCAACCTCACTCACTCACTCACTCCTGAGGCAAGGGAGTTACCTGACTGTAGAAGTCCAGTTTCCACCCTTGCTGAACTATACTGGAATTCCGTAGTTACATTTCGGCTGGACTAACGAGTCTGTGCATAGTCCAATCAAGATTGTGCAGCGAACTAGACAGCCGACATGGATTTCAGTGTTCAGATTTCGATCGTTGGCAGGATATGCAAAGCATGTGTACTGTCAACTGTGCATTGACATTTTCCAAATCTGTTCATGTTTTTAGTCGAGGGACTCAAATTATTTAATGCACTTCGTGGTAAGACCCGTTTTATTACAATATGGATCTTGATTATCGATCAGATCGTCTTGAGTGGGCGCTGCCATTTTGTTTGAAGCAAATGCAAGTGATATGAGAGGTGGAATCCGACTGGTCAATAGGAGGGATATAGAAGGGACCTAACTAGTAAAAGACACACACACACACACACGCAAACACACACACACACACGTCGCTTCATAAGTGCAATAATATTGACCGTGATGTTAAACCTCAATTCTCCTGACATTTTCCCATACTATAGCATGCAGCCATTCACAGGAATTTGTTGTTGAAAACGTTTGTTAACCTAATGTTATGGTATGAAGTCGAACTCGAGGTTATGTTAACCTCATGTTACGGTATGTAGTCGAACTGGAGGATATGTTAACCTCATGTTACGGTATGTAGTCGAACTGGAGGATATGTTAACCTCATGTTACTGTATGTAGTCGAACTGGAGGATATGTTAACCTCATGTTACGGTATGTAGTCGAACTCGAGGATATGTTAACCTAATGTTACGGTATGAAGTCAAACTGGAGGATATGTTAACCTCATGTTACGGTATGAAGTCGAACTCGAGGATATGTTAACCTCATGTTACGGTATGTAGTCGAACTGGAGGATATGTTAACCTAATGTTACGGTATGAAGTCGAACTGGAGGATATGTTAACCTCATGTTACGGTATGAAGTCGAACTCGAGGATATGTTAACCTAATGTTACGGTATGTAGTCGAACTCGAGGATATGTTAAACTAATGTTACGGTATGAAGTCGAACTCGAGGATATGTTGTTATTATTCAGCCATTGTTTTAACTGCACTCTTTACATCTTTCATGAATATCTTGTGATTGACCCAGTGAATCAGTGCCTTGCATACATTACCTGTTTCTGTGAAATTTCAATGAAAAGAATTGGAAATAATTTTACTTTTCTATCTCTATGGATGTCGTTTTGTTTAAAGGAAAATAAAAATCTTCTGAAAGTCATCAAAGTTTTGTGTTAACTAAGGACACTGTTGAGTGAGCAAAAGCCCATATTTGGTCATATATCAATATTCATGCGCAACCAGATTTTGCAACCGGTTTCAGTTTGGTCTGTCAACCATATAAAGTCCACTCGTTTCGTAAAAATGGTCTCTAACGAGAATTTGTAGTATTCTCTATTTATACCGGAATACTGTTCAAGGTGGAGTATGTGTATAGAGAATACTACACACATTCTCGTTAGATACTATTTTTACGAAACGAGTGGACTTTATATGGTATCTGACCGAGCGAAAGCGAGGTCAGATAACATTGAAAGTTCACGAGTTTCGTAAAAACGGTATCTAACGAGAATGAGTGTGGTATTTTATTTATTACCCACGTTAAATATGTATGTAAGTGTAAATACATAACAACTTTTGTTCGTTAACAGACCAAACTGAAACCGGTTGCCAAATCTGGTTGCGTGTGAATATTGATATATGGGGTGCAGGCTAAAACGGCATCTCAGCAAAACGTCACCGATTTCTCTGGCGAAAACGGCACCGCATTTGTCGAACACGGGTGCAAATATTTGTACAAGTATCACTTGTCCCCAACTTGATTCAAATAAAACTGTTTTCTATATAAAAAAAAATCAAGGGGGGCAACTGCCATAAAAATATACTTGATATATTTCATACCTTGTTGTCTTCATATATATAGGGGGCGGTCGGGTAGCCTAGTGGTTAAAGCGTTCGCTCGTCACACCGAAGACCCGGGTTCGATTCCCGACATGGGTACAATGTGTGAAGCCCATTTCTGGTGTCCCCCACCGTGATATTGCTGGAATATTGCTAAAAGCGGCGTAAAACCATACTCACTCACTCACTCACTCATATATATAGTAATTAATAATTAAATTGTCATTGTTTGAATCGTTCAAAGCGCAACAACGACCACATGCATATTGCAAAAGTAAGAATGGTAACACCACATTACAATAGGATCAATGCACGTTCATGGTGGGGTGGTTTTGACTGGTAGCAACTGTTTTACCTGTGACGTCGGGCCACGTCTCACTGAAGCTCAACGGAACAACCTCGTAGGTCGATTGGAAACAGGAGACTTGCAGTCAGTTGTAGCCAGGATATTGAAATGTGTGCCAAGACACCATCAATTCCTCTGGTATCGATACGAAAAGCATGGCACGTCAATTGACTGACCCAGGTCGAGCCGTCCCCGTGTTACAATGGCTTCCAAGGTCCGCTTCATACGGCTACGTTATTTGCAATTCTCAAATTGCGAAAGATATCTGACCAGACAGCGTCGAAACGCCTTCGTAACGCAGGTCTTAGAGCTCGTCGGCTTCCAAGGTCCGCTTCATACGGCTACGTTATTTGCAATTCTCAAATTGCGAAAGATATCTGACCAGACAGCGTCGAAACGCCTTCGTAACGCAGGTCTTAGAGCTCGTCGGCTTGTCAGACAAAAGTGTTGTTTTGACGTCAACTGAGCCGCAAGCAGTATCTGCCCCAAACAGCGATGGAACATTTGGGTAAGCGATTTATGCCGCACTGAGAATATGGGTAAGCTAGGGTGCACCGACATCGGCGGATCGACAGATTTGGCTTTGGCAGCAAAATAATGTAGGCCAATTTCTCTCACACTGGTAGAATATACCTAGTGCCACGCAACTGAACGACCCAACGCTATTGTGATGAAACTCTTCAGCCGCATGTTGTTTCCATCAAGTTATCCTTCAACACGACAATGCTAGACTGCATACAACATGTGTAACTGTTGATCTAACTTCTATGAAATCAAAAGGCAGGATAAGTATTCTCATCATTCAGGAAATAAAACATGAAAGAGAAAGAGTTTGAAAGAAAAACAGCCCGCTCACTTTTGAGAATTTATTTTACGCTGTTCCCCATAGTACATCGTGCTTTTTGAAGATATCTACTTGTACTTTAGGGAACCAAAATATTGTATTTACCGCGAGATCCCACTTTGATCTTGTCACTTCCGACAACGAATCGTTAAAGACAAATCCTGTATATAAACGGACATACACATTATTTTAACAGACGCGTTGTACATGAATAGCGAGTGAGTGAGTATGGTTTTACGCCGCTTTTAGCAATATTCAAGCAATATCATGGCGAGGGACACCAGAAATGGGCTTCATACATTGTACCCATGTCGGGAATCGAACCCGGGTTTTCGGCGTGACGAGCGAACGCTTTAACCACTAGGCTACCAGACCGCCCCACATGAATACAAAAGAAGGCGTCAAAATCGTTATATTTACAACCTCGATCAACTTCTATTCCCTCTTATCAAAAAAGATTCCATACATATATCTTACATAATACACAAAACGTGGATTGATCATTTATTGTTAACAATTAATTATAACCAAGCAATGATTATTTTCGACGTTTTTCCATAGGGCTTGGGGGCAGAATAGGTTCCAGATTTGGGCACAGCATCATTGTTGCCCTACTAACTAGTTAATATCAATTAGACGTAGCAATTAATGCTATTTGGTTGATATCTAATATACATGTGCACTTGCTGCACATGATTTGGTGATTATGTGAGACTGATACCTTACATAACATGTTATTTTAACTACAGCCCTATCAAGTTAGTGAGCACATATTGGTGGCACATATTCACATACACGGCTACAATTACATTGTCGAGTAGTAGTAGTAGTAGTAGTAGTAGTAGTAGTAGTAGTAGTAGTTAGTGAGCTAAAGTTTCATTTCATTCCTTTATATTAATGTGTATTCATAGCAAACAGACAGGCACTATATTCGTAGATAGGTCATGATGCCCACAGTACAATTCACACTTACGACTAATGAATAAACCGTCTAAGAACAAAGGAAATGTTGTCTTTGTAATGGTCAAAATGTTTATTTCTATTTTCTATCAATTATGATAGCTTAACTTGTTAAGGAGGTATGAAATCTGGTTTCTAGAATTTCCACAAATTATGTATTACACATAACAATAGCAGTATACAATATTAAATAATTGTTATGTTTAGGATGTTTATTTAATTTCCTGGGTTTGAATGTTATGTTTCCTTTTTTGATCATGTGCCAATTTTACATCATCCTTAATCAGAAGGGAGATAAGCACAGATTGATGTGGTCATGTCACCATGTGCTTTAAGCAGCATGCATGCGGAAGTCATGCTAGGAGCCAATTGGGTCTAAAGTAATGGTAAGGCACATTTAGTCACTCATTTGAAAATTCATAAATAGGAATTTGTTTATAAATGCATCTTCTTAATTTCTACCACACACAGTAACTTAATTCTTCATAATTGAGGGTTTGTGGCTGATTTAGACTTGGCTCATGGAAATACACCCTAGACTTCAACTTTGTTCGTAAATATTCTCATGGCCTAAAGTTATGAAAGGTATATGAAATATTAAGCTTCCTGTTTATTTAGTGCAGTTAAGGCATTGTTTCTGTACATTTTATTGGACTATTATGTACTTAGTGCAATTTCCAGGTTTGTGTTGTAATTTACCTTATTGTTAAAAGTTCATGTCTTTGTGAAGTAAACAAGCCCAACCTAGTATTACTGCTGTATTATGAAGTTAATGTGTAAATTAAGAAATTCAAAAGCCATATACTCAATGAAATCCTTTCTATACATGAGACACAAGAATAAGAAAAGAATAAAGAATCAAGATTATTGTTTGGAACTTCATGTTGTAATCAACATTCTTCTTTTATCCATTTAGTGCCCACTAAAATGGTTGTGTTGTCTCTAATAACATTGTCTTATTTACCATTCCTTAGAATGAGAAAGTGATATGACAAGACCTATCCTCTCACTTGGATAAGTTACAGTCTCTGGTCCAACGAACCATGACCAGAGTTTTTAAAACTTTAGTTCTTTGTTCTTACATGTATGTTATGAAAGAACACTATTTATCAACAATACTTGTTTTGGTGTCAGATGTGGATCTATGCCACCATTTTAATTATTCGAATACTTTTTGTGGTTTTTTTCCGTAAAATATACAGAGTTTATGTAATTTTATAACCAGGTAAAGATGAAATATCATTTGTTTCAGCATCTTGTGGCTGCTTAACCTGTTGAACAGCGAATACAACTCCACCCTCACAGTTCCTATGATCATCTCTCCACTCGTTACTCCAGAGAGCAATGTCCTATCGAAGCCAACCACCTTTCAATAAACTATTGCTGACTTTTTGAGTGAGTGAGTATGGTTTTACGCCGCTTTTAGCAATATTCCAGCAATATCACGGCGGGGGACACCAGAAACGGGCTTGTACCCATGTCGGGAATCGAACCCGGGTCTTCGGCGTGACGAGCGAACGCTTTAACCACAAGCCTACCCGACCGCCCCCTGTCTTTTTGAACAGAGCGTGTGCCACTGTATGGGATACCCAGACCACGATTAACTCCATGCAGACGCCAATCTATATGTGTTGAAATAGCAAATTCACCACACATATGTTCATATGCCCGCTGATTGTATTGATTATTTGATGGATTCCATCCTGTGGTAATGGTTGGTTATATTTGCAAGGATACGTCTAATCTGATAGTATATATGAAAAAGAAACTCACGTTCTCTCTCTCTCTCTCTCTCTCTCTCTCTCTCTCACACACACACACACACACACACACACACACACACACACACACACACACACACACAGACACACAGACACAGACACACACACACACACAGACACACACACACATACATACATACACACACACACAGACACACACACACATACATACATACACACACACATACATACATACATACATACATACATACATACATACACACACACACACATACATACATACATACATACATACATACATACATACATACATACACACACACATACATACATACATACATACATACATACATACATACATACATACATACATACACACACACACACACACACACATACATACATACATACATACATACATACATACA